GGACCGGCCGCCACTCTGTAGGGCCGGCGTGAGAACGACCACTCTCTCTCTCTCTCTCTCTCTCTCTCTCTCTCTCGCATCAAGACCATACTCCACCCGCTCTTCATGTCTATCCGGCATGATGCCCGCGTGTCGGAGCGCAAAACCCTTGCGCACACCCTTTCCCTCTCCCGAAACCCGGAAATAAGTCAACAGGGTACGCAAGCACCTTAGTAGTCGTCAGCCTCGGGGCAGTCGCGCGAAAAGTGACCCGGCTGGCCGCAGTTGAAGCACTTGCGGTCCTCCGACGCGCAGTCACGGGCCATGTGGCCGACCTCGCCGCAGCGGAAGCACTTGGCGCCACGCGAGTTGCGGCCCGAGCGGGCCGGGGGACGGTACCCGCCGTCGTCATCCGAGCCTGAAGCCTGGCAGTCGCGGGCAAAGTGGCCGGTCTGGCCGCAGTTGTAGCACGAGCCGCCGCTGCTACGCGGCGCGCGCTCCTGGGTCCCGTCGTCGAGCGGGCAGTCGCGCGCAAAGTGGCCGCGCTGGTGGCAGACGTAGCACGTCCGGGCGTCCTCGGACGGGCAGTCGCGCGCAAAGTGGCCGACGCCCGAGCAGCGGAAGCACCGGTTACCGCCCTCGCGGCCACTGCCGCCGTTGCTGCCACCTGAAGGGCACTCGCGCGCAAAGTGGCCGCGCTGGCCGCAGTTGTAGCACTTGGAGCCGACGCCCGGCGAGCCCGAGCCGGCACCGTCACCATCGGGGCACTCGCGGGCGTAATGCCCGATCTGACCGCAGCTGTAACATTTGGTCCCCGAGATGCCGTTCACCACATCCGTCACATCCGGGCACTCGCGGGCAATGTGGCCATACTGGCCGCAGCTGTAGCACTTGGAGCCAGCGCCATCAAGCGGGCCGTCCTCAGCAGGGCACTCGCGGGAAAAGTGGCCAGACTCGCCACACGTGTAGCACACCGGATCCGTTGTCGTCGACTGTGTAAAACAGAGGCAGCCACACACCCAAGCCACGCACCAGAGTCACGCACCAGAGTCACAAGCCGACGCAGAGACAGACGCAGAGACAGACGCAGAGACAGACGCAGAGACAGACGCAGAGACAGACGCACAAACACCATGAGTACACGCACACACACACACACACATACATACACACATACATACATACATGCATACATGCATACATAACACCCTCGCGCTCACCCAAACAAACAGAAGCCAAACGCTCCCCTCCCCTACCCACCGCCTCTACCCACCGCCTCTACCAGCCGCATCAAACGAGGTAGACGGGCAGAGGCCGAGTGGAGAAGAGATCCACCCGGCGTGTCACAATCCCACGGTGGGCAGGGGAGGGGAGGGGGGAAGGGTAGGGGGGCTCCTTAT